GGGTGACCAGTCTGACTTTTGTTTTTTTTTCACAGTGGACTCCACCGAGAAGAAATCCCGTGCATACTGCTGCTTAAATGTTCACTATGTCAGAACTTATTCAGCAAATGTGTTTCATCTCTGCTTTGGTGCATTAACTCTTACAGGATGGAGGAAATTGTTCTTGGCGGAGGTTTGCACTCTCCGATTGCTTCTAGTTGAAACATGAAATCATTGTTATGGTGAAATTTGCGAAACTGTGTTTATTATTGAGATGGAGGACGACTCACTGTGGAGACCCCTGAAACATTTATCAACACAATGAAATGAAACTGATCATAGAGGCAGATGGTAGATAAAGGGAGGTGATGTGAAAAAAACAAACGCAGGTGTGGAAGATTTCTCTTCCGTTTTCAAAGCTCTTCAAAAATTAAAGTGAAGAGAAATTAAAGACGGTCTGAGCATTTCTCTCCAATCGGACATCTTCACGTTCCCAAACTGACCTTTGCCTTTCAGATTTTATTTTGCACCATCAGCACTTGTTCACACCCTGTAGAGTCGCTGACAGACACACACACACACGCAGTGTTAATTTGACTTGCCAGGAAAGAAATAGTGTGATTCGCCTGAGTGGCTCCCTGGACATGTATCTAAAGACAGTGGGGAGTGTGCAGAGCAATCAAGTGATAAAGCTTATTATCTGAGAGAAGCTATATTCTAAGACTTATTATCTTGCAGGAGTTAAATGACTTTCAGGTCCTCAAAGGCCTGATGGCCTGGTTTGACTCTGGGGGGGAGGAGGAGAAAGAGTGATGGGCGGATAGAGAGACAGAACAGATGAGAGGAGACGGTGATTCACTGTGAAACCAATGTTTCATCGAGGCTCTGCAAACACGCTGTACTTCATAAAACTGCCAGCGGCTGCATTGTGTCTTTGTTGAAGCAGCACAGGTAGCTTACTATAGATACTGTACATAATTTTATTGCCTTGGATACCATGAGGTTGGCATGGCAACAATAGATTTGGAGGATCTGTGCCTATAGAGGGAAGGCTGGATTCTCCTGCATCACTGAGGAATGAGCTGAAACCTGCAGGGTGGGATGAGATGTTGCATCCAAATCTATCAGAATAATTTATGCAAACATTATTAAATGTAAAATTAATGAAAAATAATAATGTGACCCATCACATCAAAACATAGATTAAGTCCAAAATTTGAATGTGGAGAAACAGGCAGATATTGGGTTTTGAATTAAACGTGTGCAAAAATTGCATTTTGTCAAAATATAATGAATTAATGCCTTATTAATGTATCATTTGTAAGAACTATCTGAAATGTAACCCAAAATTTTTTTTGATGCATTTTTTTGAGCAGTAGCAACAAAAAAACCCGATTTCAAGTAAAAATGCCTTTAAAATTTTGAATTTTTCCCTGTGAGACACCAAAGTTTTTGTTTCTTTCCTACTGGGAAATCTTAATATACAAATACTATTTGAGGTTTCAACATTATATGAACATCAAAAATTACTCAAATGGATGTAATTAGGATTCAGACCAAACAGTAATTTATTATCCTAACCAACAAGCCAAATGAAGTCACATCTCTGGATAAGTTTATGACATCAGGATGATCCAGGTGTCAAAATATAGCTTTTAAAGCAGGAATCTGAAAATGTAATTAGGTCATTTTGACCAAATTTGACTTAATCCTCATTTCGATATGATGGGTCACATATATAGTTACAGATTTGTAATGTGTCATGTGTTTTAACCTCATATTTAGGCCTCATCTCTTGACTTTGTGAGTTGTTTTTCTTCTCTATAATGTTTTCCTTTATATCTACATTTACAAGACTTTGAGTCAGCCAGAGTTGCTGCAGGCTAAATCAATTATGGTTTGCTCTAAATAAAAATACAAACTCTCCTTTTCACCACGTCTTTAGCTTGGCTTACACTGGAACAATACATTGTATTAGAAACTCATGTTGCTCTGAATGATGAATTAATGGATGTTGTACAACTTGTATGAAAAAACACAAATAYTGGATGCGGTCCAGAAAAGGCCTACAGCACGTTAGGGATGGCATCACAATGGTGTAAGAACTGAAACAAAAACACACGAGAGTTAAACTGCATGTCACTGTACAGGAAACTGTTAGAAGGCAGAAATGCTGTGATCTGATTGGAGCATTGGCAAATACAGTACTTTACTGTTTTTGGTTTTATTTATAGAACTGAATTTAAATAAATGTTTCTTACATAATTAATAAATTACATTCTTAAAATAAGTTTTATTTATTGTTGTTTAACCAGGCAAATCCTATTGAGATTGCAGATCTATTTTTCAGGGTTAGCCTGGGCCTGAAGGCAACGTATTACATGTTTTTGGGGTGTGGGGGAAACCAGAATACCCGGAGAAAACTCATGCAAACACGAGGAGAACGTGTGAACTCCACAGACCCCAGGTCAAGCTGGGCTGGAAGGAACCCAGCTTGAAAGCTCAAGAAAAAGCTTGAGAGAAAAAAAAACATTGTTAATATTCTGGATTTCCGTTACGAGAATTACTACACGCTACGGAAAAAATCTGCAAAAGATCTTGTGAACCACAAGTTTGCGGGGCTTCACTGCATGTGGTTATTCACATATAAATATTAGCATATTCCTGCACAGGAAGTGCTAAATGCTACAGTTATTTATAACAAATTCTATAGTTTTATTTCATTAATTATAATTCTAAACAATGTCTGGATGAACTGCTGTGATATATTTTAGACAGTTGTTTAAAACAATTTATTTTAATTTAGCCCCCCTCAGTGGCCGCAGTGTAAGGGGACATCAAGGGGCCACAAAATTCATAGAGGGGCTAAGTATCTGTTCAAGTTGCACACAAATCCCCAATTTTTGTAAGATTTACATATTTAATCAGTCACACGTGGTCAAACACTAAAGCTTGCACAGTAAATTCTCCTTATGAATTTTATGATTTTTTTTTACTGTACATAAATAAAATACTCTCAAGCACACATGTGAGAAAATCTAGCCATTGTTGTCAGTAAAACTTTTTTCTGCAGGATTGTTCAAATTGAAAGGCTTCTGCAAGCTTGCTTCATGTTGGACTTTCCTATTTGACTCACTGGCGCTACTCGTGGTTGGAAGTGGAACTGCATCGTTGTTCTTGGGCAGGGACAGATGAGTGACAGGACAGGGGGCCTTCAGGGGGCCAATCAGATTTCAGATGGGGCCAATGACCCTGTGGCCCCGCCCCTAGAACCGCCCCTGGCCCCCTCAAATGATTTTATCCTAGTGAAAGAAAAATCAAAAATAAAGGTTTTAGCATCTTAATGAAACAAATATAAAATTAAACCAAATTGTCCGTAAGAGTTCATCCTCCAGCCCCAAAATGAACACTTTAGTGCAAACTTAATTTTGTAACATTACAACCATTGATAAGTGACTGTAATTATTAAAAACACTTGACTCTCTGCAATTCAAACTACCCGGTACTACTTGTTTTTTAAACCTTGGGTTATGATACAGCCAAACAACCTCTCTTGGTGAAGAGTATCTGACAGCAGCAGCCTCCCTCTGCAGGACAATYCAACCAGCCACAGTTTAAAAACTGAATGTTGAACAAGGTAGCAAAGCAAAACACTGACTCCCAAATCCCCAGAACTCAAAGTGATCTAACATCCAGCGGGAACWCAGGTCCAGCTGCAGAGTTCTGGTGTCAGAAACCAGAGGAAGCCCTCAGAGACTCCACAGTTTGCACTCTGACAGGTCAGATACGCTCATGTATGAAATAAGTACGTTTATACCATACAAGTCAGTTTGGAAGTTACATTGAGGACAATATGTTTAGATATGATGGCATGGATTTAAAACAGGTGAAGGTGTAAAATATTTACATTTTCTTTCTCTGAGTTAGTAGAATGAAATAATGTGACACATTACTGATGCAGATCAGAAAAAACCCTGAAAAGTTAGATAATCTGATACACTATTTGWGCCATTCAGTGTCCTTAAAGTATGAAAAATGCACTTCCTGTTGGACACATCAGAACATAACTGTTAAGCTAATTGTCCTAAGATGGAAAAGTGGGCTGCCACATATTTCAGAGGGCATTTTATCTCCACTTACACATTGATTCTTCTCTTATTAAGGTTATTGAGAAGTACTAGAAGGAGCTTCAACATTACCTCACCGAAACATCGCTTTAATGCCCTTTTAAAGCCTTATCAGACTGCAGTATTTTACCATGCAAGCAGCTTAAAGAATGCTAACAAGCACGCTGTGAATTAGTGTCAGCTCAGCTCCTCTTTAAACATACAATATTGACAAAGCTAAAGCAAAGTAAGAGCTGTTTAGTTTGGCGTAAGTGTTTTTTCTGTTCTGTAAATGAACAGCGCACTCCTCCGACTTGAAGCTTACCACATTAGCATAAATGACTTTAAAAAAGTACTYAGGCAAAAGAAATGATCTATATACCTCTCCAAAATAGGAGCATACGGGGTGCTGTTTGTAAAGCTACACAGTCAAAAATTACCAGCAATATTTTTGTTTTATTTAGGCTTTTATAAGAATAAAAGAAAAGATTTATTTTTCAAAGTCAGTTTTTCACCATAAGATTCATACATTTATAAATGTCATAGTTTATAAACTAAATATTTAACTTACAAATTAAATATGTAGTTAACAAGCTAAATATTTAACTTGTGACTTAAATATTTAGTTTTTGATATTTAAGTTAAATATTTAGCTAGCTACCTAAATATTTAACTTGCAAGCTAAATATTTAAGTTGCAGCCTAAATATTTAGGTAGCAAGATAAATATTTAACTTAAATATTTAGCTAGCAAGTTAAATATTTAGGTAGCTAGCTAAATACTTAACTTAAGTATTTAGGTGGCTAGCTAAATATTTAAGTTAAATATTTAGCTTGTTAACTACATATTTAATTTGTAAGTTAAATATTTAGC